ATGTTTGTAAACAAAGAATAAGATTTATATTGTAATACTAGGAATAGTAGTCATGAAAATGAAATTTGCTGTGATGCTGGATTTTCTCGCTGTTTGAAGAAAGGGTGTCAGTCAGCTCAATGAGGAATCTAAGCCTAGACTTGAGTCAGAGAAAGCATAAATTTTACTTCCTAATCCTGTTTTGATTTTGGATTTGTTTTAAACTTTTAAAATTGCTTAAAATGAGGTATGAATACAAGCTCTGCTTCCTGCCTCTAAATAACATTTAAACTGTTAGAAACAAAATTAAAATACATTAAGAACACGCTTGGTATGGGTTTGAAATATAGCTCGGGGCTGGCAAGCACAAAGACCCGAGTTCAATCCCTTGCCCCACATGTTGTGCTGGCCCTGGAACAGATGTGGTGGCTCACATTTGTAATCTCAGTTATCAGGAGGTTGAGACAGGATGATCACTGCGAGTTGAGACCAGCCTAGGGGCTACAAAAGTCAGTACAGCCCAAATTGCATCATGAGAACCTATCTCAAAAAAAAAAAAAAAAAAGATGCCCAGGTCACTAGCTCCAGATATTCTTCACTTGAGTATCATCCTGAAAGTCAAAGACATCAGATTACAATGATGCATGCATGTCCATGTTTATAGTAGCAGACTTCATAATTGCTAAATCTTTGAAGTAGTCTATATCTCCATTCAGCAGATTAAAGGATAAAGAAAATGTGCTATTTACACATAACAGAGTAGAACACTATCAAAAACAAGGATAAGCTGTCTACAGGAAAATGGATGCATCTTGAGACCATAATGTCAAGTGAGATGAACTAGACATGCTGGACCAAACATCACCTCATTTTTCTTATAAGACAAACCCAAAATATAAATAAGGAGCAAAGTAAATGATAACAGAAAACAGAAAATTAGATTTTATTTAAATGGAAGGAAATCAAGAGATACAATGGATAATTAGAAGCCAAAGTGGAAGGAGAGGAAAAACTATAGAAGATGTATGACTGTGCATTCAAATAGAAAAAAGGCTGTTGCAAACACAATAAACCCCAGTCACAACTCACTATTGCTCCACCTTATTCAGTGTATAACACTACTACTGGTGCAAGAAAGAAGTTACTCACCCAAAAAACATGATGTAGAGAGACGTTTAGAGTAATTTTCTTTTTTGTTGTTGATTTTTGTTTGCTTTTTCTCTTTACTGTATAGTAATGTTTTGTATTATTTTAAGTCTATTTAATTTTATTTATTCTTTAGTTTTCTTTTTAAAATAGCACCTCTGTTTCTCCTCCCTTCCTATTCTTTTCTTTTGTTTCTCATTCCATTTATCCTTTTCTTTCAATATTTTACTATTATTATTACTAACATTTATTTTTAGCCATTTAGTTTATATTGTTATTAGTTACTCCATTTCTTTTGCTAATGTTGGCATCATTGTTGCTTTTAGTTGCTTTGTGCATCATGTTGGTCTTTGTGTCATTGACATAGCCACAGTGCTTTTCCTCTTTCAAAGACACTAAGGATTGGGGACCCGAACTTGAGTCCTAGTCTCTCTTTTCTTCGGGGGCAGCATGAGTGTCACCACCCGCTCCACTACCTTCTCCACCAACTCCCAGTCCCTGGGCTCAGTCCGGGTGCCCAGCCAATGGGTCAGGTGGGCCAGCAGAGCTCCCAGAGTCTATGCCGGCGAGGGAGGCTCAGGCTCCTGGATCTCCATGTCTCACTGCATCATCCTCCGGGGTGACATGGAGTCTGCGGGTCTGGCCACGGGAGTGGCCGGGGGTCTGACCAACATGGGCAGCATCCAGACTGAGAGACAATGGAGGACCTGAACGACAACCTGGCCTCCATCCTGAAGAGAGTGAGGAGTCTGGAGATGGAAAATCGGAAGCTGGAAAGCAAGATGCAGGAGCACCTGGAGCAGAAGGGGTACCCGGTCAGAGACTAGGGCCATTACTTCAAGAACATGGAGAAGCTGAAGGGTCAGATCTTTGTGAATTCTTTGGACAACACCCACGTTGTCCTCAGATTGACAAAGCTATCGGTGCTGATGACTTTAGAGTCAAGTATGAGACAGAGCTGGCGATGCATCAGTCTGTGGAGAATAACATCTATGGGCTTCGCAAGGTCATCAATGACACCAAAATCATTCAGCTGCAGCTGGAGACAGAAATCGAGATTCTGAAGGAGGAGCTGATATTCATGAAGAGAAACTATGAGCAAAGTAACAAAATAAATGTCACAGGACTGTCCTGCTACAAGGCTGTGTATGGTTAGATTTCTAAATTTCTGTGTAAAAATATGTAAGTGCTTATTCTAATTTTTTAAATTTTTATGTTTTTAATCTTTTTTCTTCATATTCTGGATGGACTCAAAGTTTAGCATATCAATACTTGATGGGAAATACCTGTTCTATGTTATGTCTAAGATGTTTGATATCCAGACAGTGAGGTTAAGCTCAACTGCCTATGTTATACAGTAATAATAATAAGCCTCTCTTCTGGAGTGTTAACAACCTAAATTTACAGACCAAAAAGTAGAGTAAAAGAAGGGTTGCAAGGACAGCAAACATTTTGGCCTTAGCCTTTCAAGGTCAGTGAAGACTCAAGGCATAGGAGAACCTGTAGAGTAACATCATACAACTCAGTTGTGTCACAAATTTTCTGATCAAGGAGATAATAGGACCACAGAGGAAAATGAATGATGATGTAGACTGTGTAAGGAGAGTCACATGGAGAGAAAACATTCTCTCAGGCTTTCACAGAGAGCAAATTGCTCAAGCAATGGTCGTGACTCATCCACATGGCTGACACTCACAAAGGTTCTACAAACTGTGGTACAGGGTTCCAGATTAAACCCTAAGGGGATTTGACTGATCTTATCAGATACAAAAATTGCATTTCTTGTTATATGGGTCTTGCTTTATCTCAGTCTTACCATCCAGCAAAAGTATGAAAACAAAGTATAAAAAAGTAAAGCCATATTAATATGCTGACCTGTAAGAGGCTCAAGTCAACAACTTCAGACACTGCCAGACTTACAGAAAACCCACTACTATTATTGGGACATTTTGCTGAATTCATGCATCTACAGTATTTAAATGACAATAGAATGCTCTTCTCTGACAAAACTAACCAAGAAAATAAATAAGATATAAATGAACGACCATTTTGTATCAGTATGCTCAAAATAGGATAAATATACAGCTCCATTCTCTTAATTCTATGAATAGAGCAGTTTGTTCTAATAGTGTTTAAGACAGGATATCATGTCTGCATCCTGTACAATGAATAACCACTAAGACAACAATATGCATTGCATTAATTTTTGAAAATGTGTTAGTAATCAGTTGTGAAACTGTCTCATTGCTATTTGTTTCTCAGTAAAATTATTCAAAAAATAAAAGATAAAATAAAATAATATTACTACTGGTAAAAAAGAAAGAAAGAACCATGATGAGGAAGTCAGCATCCTTCAAGCCGATTGCCAGCTCTGGGTTGACTGTGGAGGTGGATGCACCCAAATCTCAGGACCTCAGCAAGATCATGGCAGACATCAGAGCTCAATATAATGTGCTGGCTCAGAAGAACTTAGATCTGGACAAGGACTGGTTCCAGCAGATTGAGGAGAGCACCACAATAATCACCTCTCAGTCTTCTGAGGTTGGAGCTTCTGAGATGACACTCACAAAGCTGAAGTACAGCTTCAGTACTTTGATACTGACCTGGAATCCATGAGGAATCTGGATTGGCCTGGAGAACAGCCTGAGAGACCTTGAGGCCTGCTACACTATGCAGATGGAGCAATTCAGTGGGGTTCTGCTGTACCTAGAGTCAGAGCTGGCACAGACTCGAACAATGGGACAGCACTAAGCCCAAGAGTATGAGCCCCTGCTGAACATCAAGGTCAAGCTGGAGGTTGAGATCGCATGTACTGCTGCCTGCTGGAAGATGGGGAGGATTTCAATCTCAGCCTTGCCCTGGACAGCAGCAGCACCTCTGTGCAAACCACCAAGAGGACCATCGCCCACAAAATTGTGGATGGAAAATTAGTGTCTGAGACCAATGACACCAAAGTTTTGAGACACTGAAGCAACAGAAGTGAGGTGCCCTTGGGAAGGAGCTGGCAAATAAAAATTCAGAGGTCACTGGAGAAAAAAAAATACTAAGAATTAAGCTGTCACAGAAATCTTGGTATTAACAAGACCTTCAAATAAAAATGGAAACCTTATCCATCACAACAGACCTAAAAAGCTCCATATAGAAACACAATAAGTATAAATAAGCAATACAACATGAATCCTCCAAATGTCTTTAACCCCTGAGTAACTAAAGTCAAAGCTATTGAAGGG